TCTCATGATATGACATGGACATTTCTTCCACTGGGGATGATGGGTGGTGGTAGCATTTGCAGTTCCTTTCCTTGAATCTGAGTGGGGCTGTGACTACAGCAAAAGGCATGTTATCTGCTTTCTGAGGCTGGGCTATAAAAGATAACGCTGTGTTGACTTGCTCCTCTTGGAACCCAGCCACCATGCTGCCAGGAAGCCCAGGTAACCAGGCAAGGCTCCATGTAAGTATTCTGGCTGACAGCCAACAGCCAGTATCAACCACCAGGCCTGGGAGTGAGGAAACTTTGAGATGACTCCAGACCCATCCCTGCCTGACTGCAACCACATGAGAGCCTCCAAGTAAGAACTGCCAACCTACCTGAGTCCTCTCAGTCCCCAGAACTGTGAGAGATGATAATATATCATAGTTTTAAGTCACCAAGTTTAAGCTTTACTTGTGATGCAACAATAGGTAACTGGAACATCCAACAGATCTTATTCATTTCTAAGACTACACTCTTGCTTACGACATTTTACGCCTGCAACTCTGCCACCATCTTCACGTATTGAAAACCTTCCTGTTGATCAAGGACCAGCTCAATGAAACCTTTCCTAACTATCACATTTAACAGTGCTCTGTTTTCTCTGTACTCTGGATACTTTGCATATTTTCACCATGATTAATAAGTCATTTGGGGAAGACTCCCTTCCCCCGTCAGTCACTTTATAAAAGTATTTTAATATAGTTTAAAAAGCAGTACATGCTTTTGTCAAAACTACAAACAATACAGAAGTCTATACTTCAGAAAGTGCCTCCAATCTGTCTTGCTCTATCTCACTCCAATTTACCCCCACAGTATTCCTCACAACCTCTTCTACGCACACATTTGCACATGCGAACACACACACTTTTCACATAAACAGGATTCCATCACAATACTGTTTTGTAAAATGCTTTTTTCAGTCAAAGGTGTATTGTAGGTATCTTTCTTTCAGTTAATACCGATTGACCTCATACTTTTTAATAGCTGTATAGTATTTCCTATTTAACCAATATCCTATTTATTGAATTTAGGTTTCCCCCCCAAGTTTTCCTTATTGAAAACAAGACTGTATTGCCATTGGATACATTCCTAGGAGAAGAACTGCAGCAGTTTAAAAAAATGCACCTTTTAATTTTTGGTATAAATTCTTAAAATCCTCTTCAGAAAGAGGTAATGATATCCCCATCAACAGCAAAGGAGAATACTGTGACATTCTCTGACACTGAATATTGTCAAGCTTTTAAATCTTTGCCAACTTCTCAGGTGAGGGATGAAAGCTCCTGATTTTTAACTTACAGTTTTGTTATTAGTGAGGTTGAGAAGCATTTCACATTTTATGAGTCCCTGTATTTCTTCCACCATGAATTTTATCTGCTATGTGCTTTGCCCATTTTTCTATGGAGTTTTTAAGTTTTAGTTGTTTTATTTGTTTGTTTTTTAAAATAGGAGCTTTTTAATATTGTCTATATATAGTATATAAAAGCCTAATATGCAAATTGTCCCCACAGGAGTTTGACTGAGAGACTGATTGCTCACTATGATGTGTGCTGACCACCAGGGGGCGGTGAGGAATGAAGGAAGGCCTTGGCTGGTAGCCGGCAGCCGGCAGCCAGCAGCCGGGGAAGGGAGGCCCTGACCGGCAACCAGGAGGCCCCAAGCGGCCCTGATCGCTGGCCAGGCCTAGGGATCCTACCCGTGCACTAATCCTACCTGGGCCTCTAGTGGATAATAAATGTTTTAGTCTGCTCAGGTTGCTATATTAAATGCCATAGACTGGGTGACTTATAAAAAACATCAATGTATTTCTCACAGTTCTAGAGGCTGCAAGTCCAAGATCGGGGTGCCAGCATGCTTGAGTTCTGGTAAGGCCCCTTCTGGGTTGCAGACTGCTGACTTCTTGCTGTGTCCTCACATGGTGAAAGGGGCAAGGGATCTTTCTGGATCTCATTTTATAAGGCACTAACCCCATGCATGAGGTCTCCACCCTCATAACTCAAGCACTTCCCAAAGAGCCACCTGCTAACACTCCCATTTTGGGGGGTTAGAATTTCAATATAGTAAACCCTTGATTTTAGGAACCTCAATTTAATAGACTTTGGGTTTAACAGGCAAAATTTCAGGCCTATATCTCATATGTGAAAATCAACACCCTGTTAATTTTTAAATGCTTATAATTAAACTAGTGGCCCAGTGCACAGATTCATGCACATGGAAAGGAACTTAATTAGAAGAAAGATTCGTGTGGTAATTACGTTACTGCAAAAAATTACATGGCAAAATCCTATATAATAAAAGGCTAATATGCAAATTGACCGAATGGCAGAATGACCAGTCGCTATGATGTGCACTGACCACCAGGGGGCAGGCGCTTAATGCAGGAGCTGCCCCCTGGTGGTCAGTGTGCTCACATGGTGTGGGGGAGGGTGGGCGCTGCTCAGCCACAAGCTGGGCTGACGGCTGGCGAGCGCAGTGGCAGTGGTGGGAGCTGTCAGTCAGACATCCCCCGAGGGCTCCTGGACCTCTAAAGGGCACAGGCTGGGCTGATGGACCCCTCCCCACCCTGAGTGCACGAATGTCATGCACCGGGCATCTAGTAGTATATATAATATAGTATTATAAAATTAAAACACATGTGCGATTGGCACCAGTGAGAGCTTTATATGTATCACGCATGTGCAAGTCAAAGTTTATTTTCAAATTGCCAGTGCGCATCATATGTACTGGCTGGTCGGTTGGACGATCAATGAATAAATCGCGATGTGGTTCACATTGAATATTAACAAAAACAACCAAATTCACAATCAACAATGACAGATCGAAACACATGTGTGCAATTGGCACCAGTGAGAGCTTTATATGTTTTGCGCATGCATGAGTCAACATTTATCTTGAAATTGCCAGTGCACATCATATATCCCGGCTGGTCAGCCGGTCAGCCATAACTACGGTTGGTCACTTAGCCTTTTATACATATAGATTAACAGGTTAGTTTTTGTGATTAATTCACTGTTATTTTAAACAAATTTTAATGAGTAGGCCATTATATTGAAAAATACACTGTAGTAATTTCACTGACATAAATAAATAATATACAGTATATCCACAACTATAGTCTACATATTTAAATCCAAGAGTCACTGCTCCTAAACAATGTTCTGTGAATAATCACACCACATCACAGGCGGTAGGTAATTGGTTCTGCATGGTGTGACTTTCTGTAGCAGTCTTTTAAAATACATGTACGTTTTTATTGATTTCAGAGAGAGGAAGGGAGAGAGAGCGATAGATACATTAATGATGAGAGAATCATCGATTGGCTGCCTCCTGCATTCCCCCTACTGGGTATTGAGCCTGCAACCTGGGTATGTGCCCTGACTGGGAATCAAACCACAATTTCCTGGTTCATGGGTCCACACTCAACCACTGAGACACACCGGCCAGGCTCTGTAGCAGATTTAACATCTGCTGTCCATGTTCTGATGTGCGCTAAGCCATAGCCCAGCTGTGTGCATTTGTTTACCTTCAATGACTGGTGAATGCACATATTTACGAGACCTACTCAGTATAAATTTAAAATTACAGTAATACATATAGAAAACTTTCCCATGAAATTAAACTTTTCATACATAATTAATTTTAATTACACAAATGTGCCTATATAAGTAAAAATAGGTAGACTAATTTGTCAATTTTTTAACATATGCACTAGGAAAACCTACTTCATTATATAACAGGCTTTCATCTTTAACGGACATGTGAATTAGCCCATTATATCGAGGTTTTACTGTATATGAATTTTGGGGAACACAAACATTGAGTCTATAGCAGCAAGCCTTTTCTATATTGCTTTGCAAGTATTATTTATCTGTTTGTCCGTTGTATTTATTTATGGCACCTTTTGCATCTAGAATTTAAAAAGGTTTGTGTAGTTAATCCTATCTGTTTTTTGCTAAGCTATTAGGCACAAGGTTTTTTTTTTAATAAATTCTTCTATATATTTCCAATATTATATAAATAAATATATATTATTCCAGATGTTTTACAGGAAAAGCCAAACATTGAAAAAAGCAATCATAAAATAGCTCAGATAACCCTTTTTTGAGACATTCTTATGTACTAACAAATCTAAATTCTTAGGAACTCATTGATAAAAAATTCATTTATTTCTTGGAGAAATAATTATGACACATTCCTGTATATCAAGCTTTTTCCTAGGCTTTTGGTATACAGCGGGACTTGTTGAATGGAAGTAAGAATATAAGGGTTAACAGGCAAAACACCTCATGTAGCATTTTTATAAACAAAATGAATCAATCTCTGTGGCTCTCCCCTGAGCTTATATAGTTTGTGGACTCATTCCTCTCATTACATTTAATCTTTGCTCTAATTCTTGAATTAAATGTCTTTCCACTTCACTAAAATATAAATGACTTATGGTCAAGGAATGTTTCTCATTTCCCTTTGAATTCCAGGTACCCAGCTAGGTATTTGGCCCATTGTAACAGCTCAAGAACTATATTGTTAAATACACAGATTTCCCTACTTTATAAATTGTCTCTTCTCAAATAAATATTCATAATCCTGCCTCCCTCCCTCCTTCTTTGCCCCACCACCCCAAATAAAAACCAACACTAGTTTTATGTTAAAAAAAAAACCCCTCAAATCCCCAAAGACTGATGTTTGCATATGTGATACTTGATCAAACACACTTAGTTCATAAGAAAGATTCAATTAAAAACATTGAATAACTACAGATAAAAAATGTTGTTCAGAAAAGTAATAGGGGAATGCTATATCTCTGTAAACACAAAATCACTGCAAGCATTTTTGGAGAACTTACAAATTTTCTGATCTTGTAACGAAAATCTAAGTGAAACCATAAGTAAAGGCCAGAGTTATTCATTAACACTGGAGAAACATCAACTTACAAGTATGGGCAGAAACCAAGTTGCAGAGCTAAGGATTTATGATTCTCACCTGAGTCTTGCTGGGAACAATGTTGTCTTGTTCTGCTCTGAGTATATGCCCGAGTTCAGGGAAGCTCTTTTCAGGGGTTTCTAACTTCAGGGCTTAACTGGGAGGCTGAGATATATTTTCATCCTCTGGAACAGAGACCTGCTCCTGCCTCTCTGGAAATGAATGAACAGTTACAGCCCTTGGTTACAATTAGTTTTCGCTTTTGGAGCATTTCCCAGGGGTGATATGTGAATGCCTCAAGGAGGAAGTTGTGAGGCAGATCTGGAAGCTGGGGCTCTGCAGAAGCAAATGTGCTCTTGTGCGATGCGGCTGTGACACAGTATGTGCTAAAATGTAAATAACACAGCAAAAGCACCAAATGTCCCCCTCCCCCTTTTAAATCAGAGGTCTATTCTGAGCAGTTATAGACATACACACATGTAGATGCATTTATATTTCTGTTAGGCAAAAACCTGAAATCACGTGAACAATGAGTCAGGCTTTATTACTGTTGTCGGAAAGACCGTTAGCACAGTGCCCCCCCGCCCCCCCTTCCCCCCCCCCCCCCCCCCCCGTGAGTGACCAGCACCAAGCCCTCCATCAGAAGCTGGAAATCCTGGAATTCACATGGCCAATTATGCAATACTAGACCACTGGGAAGCATTTCTGGCTGGCTCAGCTGGTGATCCGCTTTTACCCTGCAGCACCACGATTGATAGACCTTGTAATTTTATCCTGGTTAGTGCAGATGCTGTTCTTAGCTAAGTTTTTATTTTTAAAAACTTTTTCTCAAAAACAACAACAAAGACCTAGCCCTAGCCATTTTTCCCAATGGTTAGAGCATCAGTTTGGGGAATGGTCTCAGGTTGGATTCCGGTTAGGGGCATGGATTGTGGGCTCAATCCAGGGCCCCTAGTTGGGGCACGTGTGGAAGGCAACCAATTGATGTGTGTCTCCTACACTGATGTTTTTCTCTCTCTGTCTCTCCCTCTCCCTTCCACTGTATCTAAAAATCAATGGAGAAAGTATCCTAGGGTGAGGATTAACACCACCACCAACAAAAAAAACCGTACCCCGTTCCCAAGTGACTTGTCTTCATGACACCTCTTGGTGGTGAGATCAGTACCCTGATCACTGGCTAGGGGGGAAAAAAATCTTTCGAGATTTCAGAATTCTCAGTAGTTTAACTTCACTGAATGCTGTGTGTGTGCTTGTTTATGAGAATGAATGAAAAGAAACAGTATTTTGGCCCCCTCTAAATCACTCCTTTTATGAGGCTTCTTTGGGTGTGAGGGGGATGGGAAAGAGACTTGTCCTTAGAAGGCACAGAATACAAATTCAGGAGTGTAGTTTCTCTCATGCTAATGATGAGGCATAATTTTAAAGCATCACATTCATATGTATATATGGGGCATACATACATAATTAGTACATTTACAAAGTACCTCGCAGAACCTTAGAACTTGGTAGTTCCATTAACCCTGAAAGGGAAAGTTGGAGTTCAGCTCAGTTAAGCACAATGGAATGTGCTCCCTTTCCATTAGATTCACATAGCATCCAGGTCTTGGAAAGAGACCTACAAAGAAGTGAAATACTTTTTCTTTTTTCCTGAAGAACTGTAGCAGTCTGTTCCATATTTATCTATTTCTGCAGTTTTAATTACAAAATAAGCACTAGCTACTACAAGGAATAACTACACTAGCCAAAAAGATTTTTATAATCTGAGAGAAATGCTCCCATATTGACTACACTAAGAAAACAACTCCCCTTGCCTTGATTATAAAGAAGGAAGACAGATGGCTTCTTGTTTAAGGCTGTAATTTTACTTTCAACCTCCTCCCTCCGTTAAAAACAGAATGTACTTTGAGGCTTTAAGGGGAAAAATCTCAAGGGAAGGTTTTTTTTTATTTTTATTCCTGGCTACACTGAATAATCCAACACACATTTCAGATTGCTGAGGGAGAGACAAAAGAGAAGACGCTTTCCCTTGTTCTCAGGGAGTTTGCAATCTAATTGTGAAGAATTGGGGCTGGAGCCATTAAAGTTTTATTTTTTCACTTCTACTTAATGACTGTTACTGGTAGCACTTAGAATTCACCACCCCAGCAGTATGATGGGCATTCTGATGAAATTCAAAGAGAACGTAGGAAGAATGCAGAGGAAGAACTAATCGCCTCAAGCAGGACTTGAGTGCTTACTGATGTTATCTAATCTGGACAACCTTTGGAGGTCATCCCTATTATTCCTGTTTCGGAAGTGATTCTTCCAGTCACAGACCGAGGACATGATACTGCAGCACATCCACTAGGATTTCTCCTGTGGCCTTTTCTTTGGCTCTCCCCAGGTTCCCATCTTCATTTGCTTGGATTCCCTTTCCAAAGCCCGTTAGAGTCAACTTAGTGCTGTGCTATTCCTCCCCCTCAGACTCTGGGTAATCCCTAAAACTTGCTGTCTCTTATTTGGCCAGGCCGTCTAGAGTCTCATGGCTTTGCATCTTTGCAAATAAACTTTTTTTCTTTTCTTTTTTAACTGATTCTGTCTTTGGGACATTCTTTGACAGGATGAAACATGTAAAAGGCTTGTAACAGTGCCTGGTACCGGTGATCCTCTTCATATTAACCATGATCTTTAGTTTTATTCCCGCCACCTAGTAACTGTTCTCATCTCACACTATTTCCCAAGGACTCTGCGGGGCTGCACATTTCCTGAAGGCAGTGACCACGCCTACTCTAATTCTCGCCTCGCCACAGTCACCACAGGTCCCTGTCAGCCAGCAGAAACGTGCCTCTTTTTTCACCTCTTCACTCCCATTGCCTACAAGTTACTGGGACTTAGTATGTCCTCAGTAAAATTTTAAAATATGAATGAATGATTGCTTGATTATTGTGGACTACCCTCCACAGAGCCAATACGGCCCTGGGTAACTTTTTTGGGTGCCTTTCATTACGCTCTTGTTTCAAGGCTCAGTTTCCACATCGGCAAAATGGGGCCGGTAGCAACAGATGCTTGCTCCTCCTCGTCTTCCATCACTTACCCCTTCTGCAGGGAAGGTTTATTGTGTTCGCTTTCCTCTGGATAACAAGCGGCCGTCGAGGACTTCGAGTTGCGCTCCCAGCGGAGACAGCGAGCAACTCCGCGTGCCTGGCCCGCGTCTCCGAGGCCCGGAAGCAACCCGGCCCCATTTCTGCCGCGAGCCTGTCCAGCCCTCGGGCGCCCTCTCGCCCGGAGCCGACGCTCTGCCTCGGTGCCACCGCTAAATGGGCTCGACACCGCGCAGGCTCCGACGAGCGCCAAAGGGCCCGGCCTTGTTTTGGCCGCCGCCGCTCGGCCGCCCGCGCGGCGCTGCACTGGGGGCGGGGAGTCTGATGGGAGACGCGCGCGGCGCTGAGGAGGCAGCGGCCCGGGAGAGGGAGCGGGAGAGGGACTGGGCGCGGGAGGCGGGAGGCGGGGGACAGGGGGAGGCGCCGCCGCCGCCGCCGCCCGCCCCTTTCCGCTGGGGAGCAGCTGCCGCAGCAGGAGCGGAGCAGGAGCCGCGCAGCCGCCGCCGCCGTGGGATGTGGCCGGCGCCCGCGCCCAGCCCCGCTGCCTCCTGAGTCCCCGCCGCCGTCCGAGCCGCCGCCGCCGCCGAGCCGTGCGGGGCCAGGCCGCGCCCTCCCCGGGCGCCCGCCGGCTCGCATGCCGAGGGGCTCCGGGGCGTAGCTGCGCGCCCGGCGCCGCCTCCGGGCTCCCCCGGCCCCGCCATGGGCTGCTGCAACTCCGCCTCCTCCGCCGCGCAGGTGAGGGCTCCCGCCTCCCGGCCGCCCGCCCGGATGCCTCCCCGCGCCCACCGCAGGCGCCCGCCGCCCGCGTTCCTCCCCGCAGCCCGCGTTCCTCCTCGCAGCCCGCGTTCTTCTCCGCAGCCCTTCCCGCAGCCCACCTGCGCTCCAGAGCCCCCGCCCCCGCCTCTCCGCCCGCCTGTCCCGCAGATGCCCCCGCGCTGTCTCCGCAGCTGCCTCCCCGCGGGCGCCTCTGCGCGGCCCCTGGGCGCCCGCAGCTCTTCGCCTTCCCTTCCCGACTCGGCCTCACCTCCCAGTCACACCTGAGCGGCCCGTCCCGCCCGCCCGCAGGTAGAAGCCACACGGGCGCCTCCTCTCCGCCCCAGGTGGCATCCCCTTCCCTAGCCTCTGGGCCTGGCCCCTCTGCTCCCAGCTCGGCGGAGCCTCCCCCCTTCCTATTCACCCACTGTTTTCTGTGCTTCCAGGAGGAGTGCCCCCAGCATGGGCTCCTCACCTTTCTTCCCCTCGTCCAGCTTCTGCTACATTAGAGGTCCCTTTTCTCCCGCCTGCCGCCCCCCGATCGGGTTCGGGTATTTAAACGGGTCCCCCAGCCCTTCCAGGGCCCGCTGCCCATGTCCCACCCGCTCGCTTCCCACCCCACCCCCCCTCTGTGCCTTGACCCCGGGCTCCGCGGCCTCCCTGCACGCGGAGGCCCCTGCAGCCCGGGACTGGGCCGGGAAGGGGCTTGGGCACCTAGGGGGTGACGGGAGCGCTACGGAAACTCCCTCTTTGTTGCCAGTGTAACAGGAGGAAGAGGTGCCGAATTTAGTTTTTCTGTGGGCACTGGCTGACTGTTGTCGCCGAGGGCTGAGATGCAGAGATTTCTCCTCGCTTCTTCCCTGCCCCCATCCAAATTTCGCGAACCTCCCTCTCCCTTGCGGATCCCAGCCCTTAACCTGGGGATGGAAATGTTTAGACAACTGTGCGAGGATCAAATGTAATAGGACTTGACTGCTGGCCACTAATAACTGAGAGGACCTGTTTGTAAATTACCCAATTGAGTGGATTAGTGAGTGTATTTACAAATACGATAAAAAGCAATCAGGAATGCTGCATCAAACTGTCTGGTGGTGCTGTATGAAAAATAGGCTCTGACAACGCCTGGGATGTAATCACACCGTTTCATTAGCGCAGAATTCAACGGTGGGCTTTGATTTGTTTTTGGTTTTTTTTTGCGGGGGGGGGGAGGCAGGGAGGCAAGGGCTTTTGTTTTTAGAAATAAAGGCTGATCGGTTCTTGGTGAAGAAAAATTCTAGTTTGGAAGAAAAAATTCCTCCAGAGATCTAGCATGTGTGATAATGCCAGAAGTGTTTTGCTGCTGCTAAATGACTATATATAACTCAGTTTTAAATAACCTGCGATCTGTTAGAGAGAAAATGACTAGAATTGCAGATGAATGGAGGACATTTATGTTTTATCAAGTACCCATTCTATTTGTCCAGTTCTTTTTTTTTTTTTAGTGTTTGCTTACCCATGTGTTGTTGTTTTTCATAGGCTGACTGGCTTAGTTAAACCTTCCTATTTAGTTAGAATAGCAAAGAAAGACTATTATGTGGTGCTATGAAGGAGAGGTCAGTAGACCGGAGTTTTCTTACTAACAAATGACGGTGTAGAACTACACAATAGCTTTCAACTGGTTGGAGATATTTGGGTGGAGGAGGGAATCAAGTTGGGTATTTTCATCTCATATTTACTTAAATGTTATTTTCACCAAAGAGAGCTATCTTTTACACTGCCTTTCTTTAAAGAACCGGGTAACTTCACATCCTCTTTTGATGGTGAAATACCTTTAAGGCAGGAAAGTATTGGTAATTTACAGATGGCTTGTTCAGTGACTGAACAATTAATTTTGGGAGGGATGCTGCACCAAAACTCTGCTCTGATAACAGGTAGTGAGTGAGTCTTGGCATTTGTCTGGCTCCCTATTATACTTTTCAGGACGCTGTCACATACATCCTCTTTGCCTTTTTCTCCACTTGGAGCCACTGTTTCCTTCATGCCATGTTCTACAGACAAGATGCATGTCACGCACCCCAAGGGGTGCATTTTTTTCCCTGTGAATTCCTATTACCAATCAGCAGCTGTCACATGCCTTGAAGTTCAGCTTTAGGGACTTGTAGTGTTCAGTGGAGCATTGAGAAGCAGGTTTTGTGCCAAAGAGCTCATCATCCTCCCCCACCCCCCACCCTTATTTGAGAGTTTTGGCATCATTCTTCATTTGTGAAATGTTACCAGTCTGCTGACATTTTAATGCTCCTTTCAGGAGCATCACCAGCTTTAGAAAAATACTGTATCTATGTATGTTATGTTGAAACAAAATAGGGAGGCAGTCTTCTCCAGTTGAGAACCTGCACACTACCTCGAACCTCTCTTAGAAGCAGAATATGTTCTTGCATCCCTTCTGCTGGATTGTAAGCTCCTTGAGTATAGGAACTACTTTTGTTTTGCCCATTCTCGTATCCACCGCAGTGCCCTCCATACCTTGTACAGTTGTTCAGCAGTAGTCAGTGAACAGAATTAGGCACACAGATTTGAACATCTGGCTGCCAAGTAACACTGACTGTGAATCCAGCCCTGATCCAAGTGTTTGACTTTCATGGGCTGGTTGGCTAATTCCACCAAGCATCCTCTTCTAGGAACTGTTTGAATTAAGATTCACTCATTTGCCTTCCTCACATGCCTTCCTATTTTGTCTATGATCCTGTTAGTTTGCAAAGTTGAGTAGGTTTTTCCTTTTCTCCTGGGAGCTTTGCTCAATGCTTATATTTCCTTTGGAACAGGGGCTATAACATCTTAAAAGAGCTTGTCTGCAAACTCTAATGATAACCTGCAAGGCACATCAAAACACTGTGCTTTGAGGTAATCTGCATTTCAACTGAGCTTTTCTCAGTGGCACTGTCAGCGATGTTAAAACCCTGGCAGGTTTTATCAATGTAAATATCGTGTGTTTTCTTTTTCTAGTAGAGATTCACTTTTTCCCCCTGCTTTGTTGTAGGCTCTCATAAGAGAATTTATGGTCTTCCAAACTGTTTCATCTCTTATAGTCTGTCCTGGTATTATTTTCATAATTTGCCACCAAAATAATTATCCTGTTTTAGGATTTAGATCCAAGGAAAGTGTCATATTCTGTATTGTATTTTATTGCTGAAGGAACAGGTTATTGGCAAAATAATTTTACTGTATTGGGTGTGTACATCTAAGAATCTTAAGTGTGTCTAATGAGTCAGGGCTCTTATAGGATTCTTACTTATGTTTCGGTTTTTTTTTAGTAGCCACTACAAGTTGTTTGCTAATATTAATACTTGCTCAAAACAAGCCAACACATGATAGTCTGCCTAAAAATCTCTTTGAAGAGAACATAAAAGTGAGATAGTGTTCTTGAGGTGTTTTTTTTTCAGCACTAATCCTCCCTAAGACTCTTAAAATTTATTCCCAACTCTCCATAATTCGTTTGTTCTGTTCTAACCTGACATAATTTCTACTCTTATAATGTTAAACTTAAAAGTTCACTTGTAAATCTTTAGATTTATGAAATGTTCTTTCCCATTGACAAACCAGTTTGAATGAAGGAAGCTTTTGAAAGATTACTTAGCAAATTGCCCTAAGTCTTTGTCGTTAATGGCTAGATCATTATTTCTCACAGCAGGGCTTTGGAGGCAAGGAGAGTTTGCAAGCGCTCTGAAGTTCTCTGTCCATCCCTTCTAACCTTAGACATTGTGGGAGGGATGGAGGACAGTCTCTCTGATTGAACAAACTGCCCATCTGTCTGACTTCAGGAGAAATTTTACTTGTCTACCTTCTTGTCCCGTGGTCTTTAAATTGAGAGCTGTACATTTAACTGTCTTTTTTCTAGCTTTTGTATCATGAGAGTAATGAAAAACAATCAAGTGGTTCATAAATACTGGTTAACTTTTGAGTATGTTAACTGTTCCTTAACAGATTTTTTAAATAATACTGTAGTCTCCATCTGCTTTGTGGAATTTGAAGTCAGATGATAATGAAATGTGAAAAATGTAGTGGGAATTACCAACAGAGACTAAGTTGTTCCATTAAAATATGTCCAGCAAAGTAGATTTGCTCTGATTGGAACAAAAAAAGGTCATGGCATGAAGATAATTTTGGTTTTTTTCTCCTTCATAATACTGTACCGGTAGCAAATAAGAGCAACTCCTCAAAAATGTAAATGAAAACTAGTGTTAAAGTTGGCTAGAAATAATGTAAAAGTAAAATATTGCTGTTTTTCACAGCCATTTTCATGTTTTAATTTCTGCGGTAACTCTGAACTTCCATTGTCCAGCTAAGGAAATTGAGACTTGGAGACTGGGAAACCTGGCAGACGTCACAGAGCTGCTAGTGATCCAAACTTCAGCTCAGGCCTTCTGACTCGGCGTGCTCTTCTGTGTTCACATGCATGCTTCCCAGATCGTAAATTGCAGCTCACTTTAACTTTAGAAATGGTCCACTCAATAAAATTTTGAATGAAGCAATTTCCAAGTTAAATTCATACCACCATTTTGAAGTCCTTGCAGTTACTAGCTGGGGAGCAACGTAGTACAATATAGCAAAATTGGTCCAGTTAGAATTTTCCCAGGCTTAACAAATACTACAAATACTCTTTGATGTATCACTTCTCTCATTAAAAATGTTATTGGCTAGCCCTGTCCAGGGTGGCTCAGTTGTTTGGGCATTGTTCCCTGCACCAAACTCTTGCCGATTCAATTACTGATCAGGGCACATTCCTGGGTTGTGGGCTCGGTTCCCTGTTCGGGGTGTGTGGGAGGCGGTGGACTCATGTTTCCCTCTCACATCAATCCTTCCTTCTCCCTCTCCCTCTAAAAATCAATAAAAAATTTTTAAATTACTGGCTGGGGAAGATAATTATTTATAAAAATATATTCTGTATTCTACTGGTAATTGGTTAATACCTGTTTTCTATTTCTATTGCCTTCCCAATC